TAGCCGATCCAAGAGTCGAACTCCATCGACAAGCCGAAGTCGTAGCCGATCCAAGAGTCGAACTCCATCGCGTAGCCGAAGTCGTAGCCGATCAAGAAGTCGTAGCCGTTCAAGAAGCCGAAGTCGGTCGAGAAGTCGGAGCACCAGCTCTAGTAGGAGCGCAAGTCCTGTTCAAAGTGAAAAGGATAGTGAACCACCAACTCCAAGGTCACCCCGATCTGATCAAAGTAAGTTATATCTATCCATGTCACGATAAGATATCATGGTCTAACCTGAGTATCAGGCTCTCTTGGGGAGAGGGGGAGGAGAAGAGGGGAAGAGGGGAAGAAGAGCCCCCCCCCCCCCTCCCAAGGCCCCAACTTCTCCGCAGGCACCCCGAACAAAAAGATATTAACCATGAATTTTCTTTGTCTTAAAGAGAGAACAAGAAGACCCACCGACCAATTTGAAGACCTAAAAAGAGAACTGGACGAAAAGAATCAGTCTCAGCTCGATGAAATTCGAGGACAGAGAGAACGACTGGAAGAATTACAACAACAGGTAGCTGAAGAACAAAAGAAACTGCGCGAACAGCAACAAACGTTAGAAGGGCAACAAAAAGAACTACAAGATCAGCGAGAGGAGCTGGTCCAAGCACAGATTAAGGAATACAAAGAAAAGCAAACTAGGTGAGTAACGGGCTAGATAACGGGCAGCGCGCTCAAGGCCATAGTTGTCAAACAAACTTTCTTTACAACTTCATGTCCTGATGCTCAGCGTCTCTGCTCTGCCTGCACCAGTCAGATGTTTCCGTGCATGTGTTACATTATTCAGCATCATTTCTCCCTAAGCTGTTTTCATGCGTCATCCTACTCTTCAAAACCCTTCGTTTTCTGTATGGTATATATGAAACTGGCTATGATTAAAACCAAGAAAATTATCTGAAATAAAACGTTTAAATTTCAGGTTACAGGAAGAGCAGAAGCGTCTACAAGAACAACAAGAAGAGCTATTGAAAAAGCAAAAGGACCAACAAGAACAGCTTCTGATGCAGCAGTACAACCAAAACCAGTCGTTACAGCTACAACAACAACAAATGTTGCAAATGCTGGCTTCCAGTCAACAGACAAGGCAGGACAAAGCAGTTGAGACTGACAAGAATGATCAGTCACGTGGTACGTCACCAATTACTTCCACACCCAAACCATCACCAAGAAATTCACCACAACGCTCGCCTGTTGCGTCTCCGAGGAGCTCAAAGGACAGCTCAAAGAGATCAACACCCAGGTCTTCACGGCCGTCGTCGAGCAGGAAGTCCAGTAGAAAGCCGTCTACTTCTGGTGAACATGAAGACGAGCATCTAGAAGAGAGTGCAAGCGATACTGATAGCTCTACTTCCTCGTCTCAGTCAGCGACCTCCTCGCCTTCATCCAAATCCAAAAATGRCGTTGATGATGTGGACGGTGATAAAAAGCCTGGTGGTGAACAGGAAGAAGATGAACCACCAAACATACAGTTTCATTTGTCTGATAACAATGAAGCATGTCTGCTGACCAAGGGCTCACATGGACTGCTTATTTGTAAGTATCAAGTACTGGAAAAAATCTGAAATAATGTTATGGAAATCGCATTGGAAACGCCGTCGCCCCTCTTCTGTTATTTGTTTTACATTTTTTGCAGAGAAAGTAAAACAAAAYACGTTTGTCCTTTCAGCTCGCCTTCCCCCAGACGTGGATCCAGCAGTCGAAACCCGTGAGGTTCCTAAGCAAATAAAGGAAGGAGATGAAGTCTTGGCAAGATGGGTCGATGAGGGCTGGTATTACCGAGGTATGACCCCTGCCACTTCATGGGGAACATGATGTTTTGAGTCAATTTAACTGGTAGGGGTGGGGAGGGAAGGGGTGAGGTATGACTCCTGCCACTTCAATGGAACGCTCAAGTTGGGATTGGTTAGATACAATCATGTACGACTGGCTGGGTGGAGAGAGACTAATGGTACATGCAGCTGACAGGAGTTCTGTCAAATCTATTTGTTCTTGGTTGTTTCAGGTACTATTCGACAAGATTGTGGCGATAGTACATACTTCGTCGAGGACAGCGTTGGTGATCTTGAGCAGATTCCCCGAGCGGACATTATCACCGATGAAGACGATGCTGACAATGTCATCAAGGTTAGCATTAACAATTCTCCTTTTCCCAGAATTCTTTTTTTTACTATCATTTTTTTYCATGTTTCTATTAGGAAGAAGATCCTGTAGTCGCATTGCACCCCAACTTTTCGTACAGCTATGCACCAGGTAAGATTTTTTGTGATGAAGATCAAATTAAATGCTTTCGCCACCTCATTCATTTATGCTCTTTTACTCCGACGAAGGACTAGCGTCCGAAACGTCAGTAAGTTTTTTTCATCTTTTCACGGTGTAAAATTTACCCTTTTATCATTACTCTTTCATTTATTCATTGTTTCGTTCTGGTTTGGTGACATCTTCAGTAAGAAGAAACGTCAGTAAGTTTTTTCATCTTTTCAYGGTGTAAAAATATTACCCTTTTATCATTACTCTTTCATTTATTCATTGTTTCGTTCTTGTTTGGTGACATCTTCATAGGGGTAGTTATTGGTCTGGAGGGAGACAATATGTACCAGGTTCGTTACTATGATGGCATAGAAGCCATGGTACCCCGAGAAGAACTCTATCTGTTAACACCAGACAAGTTTGAGAGTGATTGTGCTTACATCCTGGGTTGTGAAGAGAGCTTGGTTGGCCAGGCAGTGGTGGCCAGGAACGATGATGATGGCACTTTCCATCTTGGTAGGTATTGCCAGGAAAGTGGTTGCTTTTTTTTCAAGAATAATAGCTTAAATTCACTCCATCGGCGACCATATTTCTTCGCGCTTCTTTGCTAGCCAAGATAAGAGAGACGCAGAGTAACCAATAGGGAGGTATTATTAAAGAACATTTGGTAGTGACTCCGACCTCATTATCTACACTCGGCCATCATTAATCACCTCTCGTGATTGTGGACTATCGTAGCACCGAGTCGCTTGTATTGTTGCTTATCCTCGATAAATTCTATATGATTGGATGTGAACCAACTCTGTGACAGCTAATTGACAGGCATCACAAATATTATGGGTTGGCAAACMGGAAACGATGAAGGTAAAGTCATCAAAATCAACTGGCAACATCATTCGATAACTAAGAAAGGACATGTCTAGTCAACTCCATTTGAGATGTTGTAATGAAATATATATGTACCTAGAAAATGACAATCTTTTGTTCTTTAGGTACCGTAAGAGAACGTGTTGGTAATGGACGTCAGTACATCATCGAATGGGCGGACCAGAATGTTCAATTACAGGTACTCTAGTAGTACATAAACGTGTATACAGTATGTTGACATGGTCTTAATGTTTTTTGTTGGTGGACGAACCATAATGTTATAGTAGTACATAAACGTGTATACAGTATGTTGACATGGTCTTAATGTTTTTTGTTGGTGGACGAACCATAATGTTATAGTAGTNACCATAATGTTATAGTAGTACATAAACGTGTATACAGTATGTTGACATGGTCTTAATGTTTTTTGTTGGTGGACGAACCATAATGTTATAGTAGTGCATAAACGAGTATACAGTATGTTGACATGGTCTTAATGTTTTTTGTTGGTGGACGGACCATAATGTTATAGTAGTACATAAACGTGTATACAGTATGTTGACATGGTCTTAATGTTTTTTGTTGGTGGACGAACCANTTTGTTGGTGGACGGACCATAATGTTATAGTAGTACATAAACGTGTATACAGTATGTTGACATGGTCTTAATGTTTTTTGTTGGTGGACGAACCAGAATGGTCTAGTAGTACATGTATACAGCATGTTTTAATGGTTTTTGTTTGGCTGGGCGGACCTCAATGTTCTAGGTAGTACATAATCGTGTAAAAGTATGTAGACGTGGTCTCAATGTTTTGGTTGTTTATTAGCCATTTCGAGGTTGAGGGAAAAACATGTTCGATTTGACATTACAGTGCATTTTGGGGCTGTTTGAGGGATGAAATAAAAGGCATTTTGAAAACACGTCTCCTAAAACAGCCCCACAGCGCATTGCTATGCCAACTAGACCCAGTTTGTTTCTAAATCTGGTCTTAATGTTTGGTTGGTTGTGTCAACAGAGTTCAAGTTACATGTTCGGAGCTCACACAAAACGTCATCCGCTGTCCATTGGTGACCGTGTGCTCGCACTTGCTGATCCAGGTATGTATGTCGATATGGAATTGAACCCAAAGTGCTTGTTGTAGGCATTTTTCTTATTTTCTATTACTTTATCTAAAGTGAGCCTCAGTGATTTCATGTTTTCGTAACCTTGTTTGTTTTATTTTTAGCAACCTATGTTTACATTCCTGGTTGGGTTACGGGATCCAATGGACGACGACTTGTCGTTAAATTCTGTAACGGCAAAAGGTATAGTAACCAGTAATCATTTTTTTCTAACTCTATGCATATTTATTAGTTTTCCTGATGACGCAATTGGCATTATTTAAGGCAACATTAATTATGCATGTGTCCCTTGGCATGAAAAGGCTAAAGAGGAGTTGCTCTCCCCCCTTCTACTTTGCTTATTGGCTTGTGACTCCAGTTGAGCGGTGAATTTCGTTTCAGCCAATTACAGAGCGTTTAGCAGCCCTCATTCCCAGTCTACTGTAACCCAACTTTTGTATATTTTTCTGCTTTCTTTTGACTAAAATATAATTCCTTGCAGTTCAAGTCACGTGGACCCCCTGCAGTGTTTTTGGCTGTCACGTGATTACTACGACAGAGCTGTGGAATTTTACAAGAAACGAAACAAGGAAAAGAAATAACTTTATACTGATGTGACTTCCAAACTCATGGAAATTGCTCCTTCCAGACAATAGTGATTTATACACAACTCAACAAACTGCGGTCCCCATTCACATTTTAATAATCAACGTATAACTCTAAAATAATATATCATCCGTTCACATGAGTCACGCTATTCTGGTAATATAACATGTCACGCAACAAGATAATACTTGAAATCTTACGTCTCCATAGTAATGGTATCTTAATCGGAAAAATAATTGTAAAACCATTAGATTTTTAGATACTCAAGAAAAACGTCTTAATTGACGCCATAACCGTTGTGATTAAAGTCGGTGATACGGCGCTATGTGGGACCTGTATGCTCAAACAGCAAGTTCTTTACAGAACAATTGGATGACATCTTAACATTGAATAGAAGCCTTTGTTAATATCAAATGTGAATAGAATAAACATTTTTAAGCTGATCTGTTTTGTATTACATGATTTGGAAGAGTTTTTTTAACTCGATCATAAGTTGCCAGTCACTTTTCTGTAGATCTTCCCGGAAGTATTCTTTAACAGCATCGATAGATTGACGACTTATCTGCAAGGAAAAAATGTATTATAAATAAATTTTGCTAATAGAAATTGTTCGGGTGGTTGTCATCTTTTGAACTTATTACCCTCGGGTAGAGGGGGATTGAACCGTAGTAGGTGTTCACACAGTCCACACACAGGGACAAGGCACAATTATCAAAAGATTTCTCATTAGCATCCATTGTTAACGGCACCACAATGGCCGCCATGCTTTTGTCTTTTGACTCTCTTGGGAATGCTTGCAATCCATCAATAGTTCGTTTTCTATCATGTTGATTTTTAATATTCATCCAAGAATATTTTATTCAATTTATCCAAAAATATTTATTCACTGAGAGAGAGTGAGAAAGAGAGAGATTACTTACTTTACTTATAAGCAAATCTTCATGATCAAAATGTCTTCCATACAGTTTAGGCGCCTCTCCAGAAACGTTTTCTATTTTAAGACACACTTCCATTCCCTTGTGAGCTTCCGTCAAGTTCTTGTGGYTTGCTTCGATCCCACTTACTACTCCTATGTCCACAAACTAACAAATACACACATGGTTATTGTAATATATTACCATTCATATTTTCTTTGTTTATATATGGTTGCCGTCCCTTTTATGAATGGCAAAGCATTCATTCATAGCATAATACTGGCTGCACTGTAAATAAAGGTTAAAACGCTAGGGCGAGGGTTTGCATAAAAATTCAAGATCGAGGGCCGCAACCCGAGGTCTTTAATTTCACTGCAAATCCGAGCACGTGCGTTTTAACTGGTTTAAAAAACAACCACGCCCTATTGTTAACGTTTGGTGGAGGGGATGAATTTCGATGGAAAACCTGAACATAATACTGGCTGC